GGGGCCGGGCTCCTCCGCTGCTTGCGGCGCTGCCCCGGGCTCCTGGCGCACCTGGCGGCGCTCGGCCTCGAACTGCTGCTGCTGCTGCTCTCCCGGCCCGGCACCAGTGAGTCCAGGCCTGGGCGGGGGCGCCCGGAAGGGGGGGGGCGCTTGTTCTGTTCCCCTTCCTGAGGGAACCTGAACTCCGCCTGCTGCAAACAGTTGAAGGGGTGGGGACGAGTTGGGGAGGACGGAGGTGTCCGCCCTGTTTCCCTCCTTCCCTGCAACTTCTTACATTCCCCTGCAAAATATAAATCAGCCCCCCGTCTTCCGCAGGCAGGGGATGGGGGTCGTCCCAGCAGTGCGAATCGTGCTGAGCCCATTTTGCAGAATTGGCGCCCGGCGTTGAGGCCTGACTAAGTGCTGTTTCTTTTCTTTTCCAGGTCTCTTTTCTTGGCATCCTGTGTTCATGTCGATAGCTGTAAGTTGCAATCCATCTCCTCCCACCTTTATCTCCCATAAACATCCCAAGCTTTATATCTGCCTTGCCTCGCTTTTGGAGATGCTAGCGTGCACATCCAGCTTCCCTCGCCAGGCTTCTGCTGGCTTGGGAACCAGACGGCGCCTCCCTCAGCAATGTGTATTCATTTGACACAAGAGAAGCATATATCTGGGAGCGATGCACAGTAGCAGAATGGGCCTGTTGGGTTCGGGCTGTGATCCGCTGCAGGCACCCGCAGGAAATGCCGCCTTCCTGAGGACTTGCATGTCTGAGCCGGCTTCTTTTCACCCTGAAGTTTGATTCCCCGAATTTTAGTGTGAGTGGGGTGCTTGGAGAGAAATGCACATAGTATTTCTCCAGTAAAGCAAATGATCTGGTGTCTGTAATGATTGTCTTGCCTTTTGCTAGTCAGGACAGCACCCTCTTGAAGCCTAAGTATACACCAATCTCTCTGCTCTTAGCTGTAAGCAAGCTCTCCTCGGGTTTCAGGCTGGTTTCAGAGCTCCTGATCAGGGTGCAAGCTGGCTGAAAGGGAGGTATGGGGTAAAGGGATTTTCTTGGGAGCCGAATGGCTGCTAGCAAGCATCGGGAAGATGTGCTGTGCTGCCGGGGGATGCTGAACATCCGGTAGGACATGAATCCCCTGATGTTGCCAGGAGCTGGGGTTTGTTTCCCTGACATGAAATAAGAGATGCGAATTACTCAGATGGGTTGACTGGACTCCAGTCCCCAGTTTTCAACACTTAGTTTAAAAACAGCTCTGAAGGAAAGCAAGCAAACAGACAACATTTAACTCAATCTCCAAACCCCCAGGAAAAATTTTTGCCTTAGGGCAGGGATGTCAGAGCCCCCAGAGCTTAGCGCGGCCTGGACCACCCACCTCTGTGGGCCGGATTTGGCTCACAGGGCTCACTGCTAGTGCTATGCTGGTGTTAATCCCTGCTGTTTTGCCATAGCTCCAAAACCCAGCGAGTTCACTTTGCTTGCCTCCCTCCCCACCCTGATCCACTGCTGAAATTGGGAAACGTAGCCCCCCTTGGAAGCCAGCATCAGTGGCGGGGAAAGAAGTGAGCATCAGCAGTGTTAACTCCCTGGGTTTTGAAACAATGGCTCTGGTAGCTGTAAGTACAGATGCCACTTGGATCACCACTTTGGGGTCGCTCAGCTTGTGGAGGGCCCTGCAGTCTCTATCCAGCCCATGAGAAGTCCCTAAGGTCCCCATGAGTTTGACATCCCTGTCTTCGGGAACAGCCGTGCCCTGAATATATTCTTAAAAAAAAAAGAAAAATCTGGCCAGAAATGATCATCTTGCATCTTCCCCACTTCCTGCCTCTTCTTCCTACCTCTTGCCCTAAGAATAGCAACATGGGTAGTACCAGGGAACATCCCAGCCAATGGGGCTCAGTCTATACCCAGGATTCACCTCAAAATGGATTTCTAAAATTAAAAATACCATCTGGAAAGAAATGGGCCATGCGTGCAGGCCAGGTGCGACACACGAGCACTGCTGCTGTTTCTTATGGAGCTTGACTTGGAGTTGCAAAGCCCCGACACTGATGATCTCTGCATAAGACAGCACAGGAGTCTGCGTGATTAGCTAAAATCATTGTAATTCAGAAACAGAAAATAGCTTCCCACCATGTTTATGCTGACCTGTCTCGTCCCTTGCTGGAAGGATGCTCTTGGCTGTGGTCATTTAATGACTTGGCCTGTGAAAGCTGCTCAGGTGTGGAAGTATTGACTCTGTCACCTGTCTGCAGTGCCCTTTGTGACCTTCTGCCTTGGGGATGGCATGTTGCCCCAAGCAAGTTCCCTGATAAGTGTTTCTGCTAGGTGCCCACCTGTTCTGTTGCTAACAGTATCCTGTATCCCCAGTTCTGCCTGTGCATGACCGAAGCCATCCTGCTCTTCTCGCCGGAGAACTCTCCGTTCTGCTTCTGCTCCCGCAAGGTGAAGGTGCGGCTCCACTGGACTGCACAGACATTGGTGATTGTGGCAGCCACGCTGGGCCTGGGCTTCATCATCTCCAGCAAGAACCGGAGCGAGTATCCGCACTTTGTTTCATGGCACAGTATCCTGGGCATCGTGACTCTCATTGCCACCTGCGGGCAGGCTCTTTGTGGGCTTTGCTTGCATTTCCCCCAGCTGCTGAGGGTCTCCTCTGTGGCACGTCTAAGGCTGTACCACATTACCTGTGGCCTGGTGGTCTACCTGCTCGCCACCTTTACCGTGGCCCTTGGGATCTACTCGGACTGGTTCCAAGCACAGATCAAAGGGGTGGCCTGGTATGTCTGCCTGGCACTACCCTTCTACCCAGCCCTCATGGTCATGAACCAGATCATTAGCATTTACATCCCAGCAAAGAGGGGGAATATCTGAGCCACTGGCCTGTGTTTCTGTCCATCCCAGGGCTGGAGCACCAGCTTGCCCCTCTCCCTTTGTTACAGGGTGTGCACCTGTGTGCAGTGTGTGTTTGAGCAATATCCCTGTGCCTTATACTGATGATGTGTTTCCCTTTGCATACATAATAGAGTTTTCTAGTTTCCAGAGTTTGAGCTGTCCCTTTATTTCTAATGAAAGCACTTCCACATTTAAAAAAATGTAGGAGAGCCTGGGATTTGGTGTCGAGCTCCTGGCTCAGGTCAGGTCTTTGCTGCCCCCAGAAGCTGCCTTGCTTTCCTGGGGTAAAGACCCTACCCGTTGGTGCAGGGTGAATGGCCCCTGGGAGTCTGCTTCAGTTTGATGCTTAGAACTGTGACAAGTGAAAAGGAGAGGCAGGAGGATGCCTGGGTGAATGGTTGCTGGCAGGTGCCCCCATCCTGTGCTAATGGGAGTCACATGGCCTGGTGGCACTGATGCAGGAAGCTGCAGTCCTGATGTACAGGTGGTAAATGCGCAGCGGGTAAGTGAAGGTCTCTGCTGCATGTGCCCGTTGGTGCGCTGCACGATTCCAGATCACACACAGACTGGTAAAGGAGTGGTGAGGTGGGCACTGGGGACTGGGATTTTACCTTGGGCACCAGGGAGTCACTCTGGAGCCTCCGGTTCCAGCGCAGCCCTGCTGGAGAAGGGGCTGTTTCCGCAGCTAGTTGTAATACTTGCTTTCTGCACCTTGCTGCCTTGGGTGGTGCCAGGCTGTGTCTGCACCTTGCCTTGGAGCAGAGGCTAGGGGGAGTTGTGTGTACCTAGGCTAGCTCAGGCCAGAGCTGCTGTAATGGGAAGACACCAAGCTTACTATTTCTGTGGTTTGTTAGGGGGCTGCGGCAGGACTTTGCTGGTGTATCCCAAAGATAGATTTATTAATTCTTGGGGCTTTCTGACTTGCAACAGCGTGGTCTACAGTTAGCAGCAGAACTCCTGTGCTTGGGGTGTGAGCCGGTGGGCTTGCACAGATCCTGTTGAAATATCCTGCTGTGCATCATCTTAGGATTGTAAGAGCCTTCTGCCTCCAGTAGCTCAGAGACGAGGTCATGCATTGCACCTCCTGAACAGGGGTACTCTCTTTCTTGGCAGTCTGCTTCCTGTTTCATCTGCCATCAGTATCACCAGTGCTGGTGCGTGAGTCTGTGCATGGCCATGAGGGAGGGGGGGGCTGATGAACCAGTTGTCCATTTAACCTCTTCTTTTTTTAATACTCTCCAAAAGTGGGGTGAAAGGATGAGTCAGGGGCAGTTGTGGAGGGGCAGGAGAGGAGCCTGGGGTGCTAGCCTGCTGGTAATGTGCAACAAACACCCAAGCACCACCCCCATCGGGTGATTTTGAGATTTGAACCTGGCATCCCCAGTGGCGCAGCGCTGAGCTGAAGGAGTAGCTCTGCTAGCTGACAGCTGTAGTAGGTTGCTATTCTCTGCGGAGCACAGCCACTCTGCTAGAGCGGGTGACACTTGCAGGAGGAAGGAGCTGGTAGCTGTGTGTGTGGCAGGGTGCTTAATAGGAGAGGGGAGGAGACCCATGTGGTAGTTTTGGTGCCCTTTGCTCTCTCTGGGCGTCATCACCATTCTGCATAAACCCTTGTGCTGTTTTCTGTTCTGTCCGACCCAAGAGGAAATGAAACAGCACAGAGATGTCTGTGTGGACTCAGCTGGGTTGCCCAGTGGTGTCTGTCTGCCCCCCCTTCTCTTGGCCCCAGAGCCCTGTGTTTGCAGTGGGACCCTCTGAATTAACCCCTCGGACCCAGGAGTGAGCAGCAGACGGGAGCAGTCAAGTACGGGCTTCCTTTTCGACGCCTTCTGCTCTGTTAACCCCAACAAACCCCTCCTCATATTTGTGTTAGGTTGTCCAGGGATCCTGCCTGAGCTGATACTCTTGCAAGCTAAACCTTGCCTGCTGCTTGGGAGTGAGAACTTTTCCCGTCTTGGGGGTCACTGAAGGATGGTAACAGGCCATTGCAGCCATATTCCTTTCGGGTGGTCCGTAGCCTTCATATGGGGGGTGCTTCCCTAGGAGATCGGGGAGACCTGCCCTCTGCAAACCCAGGGTTGGGCCTTTCAGGACCCTACATTAATATGCGCCTGTCCTAGTGTAAGGCTTTCTACCTCGGGCTCCTGTTCCCAAGAGGTTCTTCCTGGCTTGCCACGGAGTGCTTGCTGGGCGTTCTCCTCTGCAGCCTTAGCCACAAGGCCCTCCAGTTTTAGGAATGAGTTTCTCTCATCCTTTGTGTTTGTGTTGTGCAGCACCTAGCACAAGGGGACTCCCATCTCTGTTAGGACCCCTTGTGATATGCTAGTGTAGGATAAACAAGCTGGCCCTCCTTTGGAAGCCCGTGGAAAGCAGTAGCTTTTCCTGATGCTGCAGGGGAAATCTTAGGAGCACTGCACCTTGCTCCCCACCTTTCAGGCCCTGATGGTTGCCATCGAGGGGATGCCGTCCATGGAGATGTTCATTGGGGCTGGGGTTTGTACAGCAGCATGCTGCATGTCGCCAGGCGCAGCGACTATCGCAGTGTCTGCCTCCATAGACCTTACTGTGAAGGCCTTGTCCCTGTCCATGGCAGGAATGGAAGTGCACAATATCCAGGGGCAGAGGGAAGCAGGTAGGCAAGTGACTCGGTTGGACGGACTGATGGGGGCACAGATGGACCGAAGAGTCCCTCGGTGATCAAATCCCACAGCCACTGGCTTTTGCTGTTCAGACTAGGATGCCAGCTTGCTGAGTGAGCCGGTGTCCTGTCCTTGTAACTGCCAGCTTGAGAAGTGGGGCTCTGGGAGCAGGTAAGAGAAAATATCTTGGCTGGTTAGAGGTGTCTAAAAGGCCTGTAGAATGATGTGCAGGGGGGGATGGGGGAAAGGGAGATGCAGGGAGTAGGATTCAGACTCTGTGAAACATGATAACTCCAGTAATAAAGGCTCACAAGTAAAGTGGGACAAGGGAGTGTTTTCATTTTCCATGATCTCAGCCTCCCGGCTACTTCTGATAACGCTGTACAGCAGCTCAAACCCACGATACTTCTCCAGAGGACTTCTCCCCGCCCCCCGGTCCTGAGTCTGGACATAGCCTCTGTTCCTCTGGGGGCTGCTGAATTTCAGATAACACTGTAACTGTTCAGAAATGTGTTTGGCCTCTGTATCCTGTGTGTTGTGTCTCAGCCTGTACTCTGTGCACTTAACCTGTGGCCCTCGAACAACTGGGCTTCATTGTGGGACATACTTTTTGTGTATAACAAAGAAAACCATTGCCCCAAACCTGCCTGCTGTGTGTTCTGTCTGTGTGCATGGGGGGGGGGGG